CCGGCGCCGTAGGGGGCGCCTATAATTCCAGCAGCTCAGGAGGCTGAGGCAGGAGGATTGTGAATTCAAAGCAATTTAGCAGGGCATTAAGCAGCTCAGTGAGACCCTGTCTCCAAATAAAATACAAAATAGATTTGGGAATGTGGCTGAGTGGTTAAGTTCCGCTGAGTTCATTCCCGGTTCCAAAGGAAGGAAGAAAGAATACCAGTTTAAGGTATGGATATGTTAATTGTCCTGAGTTGATGATTATCCAATATGTATGTAAATCAAAACATCAAATGGTATATTATAAATGTATATAAATACTATGTGTCAATAAACCATTTTTTAAAACAAAAAATTTAAAAGTTATATATTTCATTTTTTTAGGAACATTTCATGTTTCTTAATCTACATATAATGGATGCATTATGGATATAATGGATATATGAATATTTAAATCTTTAAGGAAGTAATTCATTGTTATTGAAACAAATGAAAGGGATGAAAGGAAAAAGGAAAATCATCTGTACTTGTTTTCAGTTGAGTTCAACATTTGTGAATAATTGAGACCAGAAACAAGCAGCCTAGTTGATTATTAAACTAATTTACTTGATTTTTCAGCATTAAATAAACAAAACTTTGTGTTATTTGACTGAAGTAACTAGCTTGTCATTTGCAGCCCAAATTATCATTGCCCACAGACACTTGAAGAAAATATTTATTTCTATACCAAAAGATGAAAACTAAGACTATTTTCAACTACTTGGGCAAGAAACATGTATGGATGCAGAAAGATCAAAATAAGGGAAATAACTGAATGCCTCTTTCATACACATATAGTGCCTAGTACAATATATGTAGGCATTAAAATGTTTGACAAAGGTGCAAGAGAGAGTTGTTCAGCACATTGTTTTTGCTTTTAAAGAAAATTTATTAAAATGACAATAAAATATCTCATAAAATTGAAATCCTCCTGAGCAACAAAACAACTTTACCCCTTACTTGAGCCAAGAGAGCTGTCTCCACCCAAATCCAATGTATTAGCCAGCTTTTCATCGCTATGACCAAAATACCCAATAAGAACAACCTAGAGGAGGAAATTTTTATTTTGGTTTATGATTCCAGAGGATTAGTCTATAGTTGGCTGAGTCCATTGCTCTGGGCCCATTGTGAGGC